AATAATAATGACATTTTTCAGTGCACAATCTATGGGAAAACAAGAATTTCATAATAATTATAATCAGGAAGTTCTTCACAAACTTTTAAAAATCTGATAATATCATTAATATATTAGACATTATTTAGATATATATCTATGGGAAAACAAGAATTTTATAATAATTATAATCAGGAAGGAAAAACAAATATAAATGTTTATAGTTAAATTTCCCCGGTAATCTCCTAAACTATTTCCCATATTGAAGTACCCCGGGAAAGAGTGATATTTGAGGTGTGGGATGTTTTTACTTCTGATAATGAAAGAACAGTACAATTTACCTCCTTTTCATACATATTATCTGTTGGACTCTGGATCCCTCTGGATCTCTCTGGATCTGTTAAAAACTATTTTAATACCAGAATCCTGTTTTTCCCATCGTCGTTAATACCACATTGATCCTATTGCAATAGAAAACAGTCTATAAAATATATCCCCACTTTTTTAATATCATCTCTTTCTCCGGCATTCAAGCTCACATTAATTTCTGGCTAGCAAAATTTCAGGCATTATATTTCAGAGTAGTCTTGCTTATTGTTTCTTTCAGTTCACAATTCAGGGTTTGTTTCTTACAGGACTTTGTCAGCGGCAGTTTGCAGAAGGTCAAAGCCAGCTATGAGTACTGGGTAGGAGCTTCTCAGGATGGACCCCATGGACCATGGCTTTGGCAGGATGGCTCCACTCCTCCTCCTGACCTGTAAGTCTCTAAGGGAGTTGTTACAAGGAAAACCAGAAAAATTAGAGAATTCAAAAGTTTATTTTATTATCTACCTTGGATTTCCTCTGGGAGATATATCAACATGAAAATTTTTCAGGCTCCTATCTGGAATCAATGCTAATATAACAGAAAGAGAGCCTCATGGCTTCTAAATCTCCCTCAACCCTCTCTTACTGTTACACTCTAGAAAATTGTGAGTGTCTGAGTGAACAATACAATGTAATTATGAAGTGCATATACTTTGTATCATCTAATGCTTAGAGGCTACTAAGACAAAGAGATTGTAACAATTATTAAATTTCCATACTAAGCTTTTCAGTGAAAACTAAAGAGACTAGTGAGCACAATCAAATGAATTAAGAGTCGAGAGAGATTTTTATCTATATATCTATCATATACATCTCTCTTGCTTGCATTATAAGCTACTTGTTCTACTAACGTATTTCTTATTGAGACAAATAACTATTATTAAATAAAGAAGATAAAATCATAGTAAGGTGCCATATTAAAAAAACAAACAAACAAGAATCATCTCTCAGGAGTCTCCTTCAAGGACATCACTGTCCCCTCGACTCTAACCTCAGATACTCCGACTTGCTTTTCCAGGTTCCCAATATCGAGACCCCCATCAGTTAGCCAGGTCTGCAGATACCTCAGAGATAATTCCCTTTTCTCTGCTAATTGTACCAATTGGAAATACTTCATCTGTGAGAAGGATGCATTGAGAGCCTCCATCTGAAAGCAGTTGTTCAAAGTGACCCTTCGTTTGCATTGGTACCTGGAACAAGCACTTGGAAAACCTGCCACAAAGAAATCAAATATCAAATAAAGAAGAAAACTACTATTAGTAAGAGCTATGAAGCCAGCTTTCTGGGACTCAAAACAAGCCTTTGTATTTATACTTGGTAATATTTGTTAATACTTGCCAGATTTCAATGGACAATGTTCAAATTGCCAAGAATAAAATTGATTTAGAGTTACAAAGAACCAATCCTGCTACACCAAGAACCATGTAAAGAAAATAGCTAATTTCTCTCTCTTTTTAAAGTCTAGAATAACTATGAACACCACAAAGAAATCTATATGTCACTGGGGGAGGTGGTGCATTTATAGCTGGCTGATTTTTAAAAATAAATAAGTAAATAAAGTTGGCCTTCTAAACTTAATGTCTGCCAGATCGTTCTGTGTATGTTCTAAACTTCAGAGCATTTTATTATTAAACGAACAGAATGAGAGGCCAGAGATAGGGATTTCCAAACGGCAAAGAAGATTTCTGCCTGCAGTTTCTGACTGTACTCTGTTCAGAGTCCAACTTCTAAAACGTCGTAGAAGTGGAAAAGCTAGCTGGGATGCTGCTACCAGCGTGTCCTGCAGTAGAGGACAGCTGTGAGCTTCCTCCCCTTACTGACCACCCCTACCACTTGCAAATCAAAGGGTTCAGAGGCTGCACTCCCAGAGTTAAGAGTCCAGCACTTTTAGCTGCATTTATCAGTACCCCAATTTCCTCACTGCAAAACAGTAATAGTATCTATTTCAAAATTCGTTTGATTAAATCAAAAGAATATGTAAGCTGCTGAGGTGATGTTTCTCGTAGAGTTGGGCACTACATCAGTGCTTGCAATTGTTATCTGAAGTAAATCACTAATTGTCTCAGCATCGAGCTTGTATATCCCAAGCAAACAAGGATCCCTCCCTATTCCTGTGCACCTTGCAGGGATACCAAGAAGGTAATGTTTTTATGTCAATTGTCAGCAATCTTTTTTAAAGTTAATGAATCCTCCTCAAATAAATCTTTCAACAATCCCTGTTCTTGATCTGTAGGCTCCTTAAAACACAGAGAATCTTCATTGTAAGAGACAGTTGATATGGAAGTATTTTTATCATCTACAGAAAGGAAAAATTCACTAATTAGTGTTGTAGTTTCCAGTATATACCATAAGTAGAGCAACACCTCAGCACATAGAGTCCTCAATAGATATTTGCTAAATTCAATATAATTTTATTTAATCCTTCAGTTATCACAAGAAGTAGCTGAGATACATTTTTTTCTTCCTTAAAATAAAGGCACTACTTATATAAATATAAAACCAAATCCACTAAGGCAGCAGATTATTTAAATGAAACAAAATATCTTCTTGCTTAAATCTTTTTTTACCATAGGTAAAGTCCTGTAAGAATGGGAAGAGGATGTTTTTGTTTTGTTTTTCTTTATTTACCTTATACCTGGAGTTTAAATGGTACCAACAAAACAAATTTCTCTAGTTTTCTGCTGTTCCTTAACAAGTAAAATAGCCCCCCTTGCAAAAACAAAGCAGTGTAAACTGTCTCCTGTCGCAGCTGGCAGCTGGCAGCTAAATATAATAACCTGGAATAAAGGAGGGAACAATAGTCATTTTCAGTGGTAAAGACCGTTTGTCTTTAAGATTCTTCAAAGTATCGTCATAGAGCTATGTTTACAGAAAGGATAGGAAGCATTTACAATTCTGAGAAAAAGGGCAGTGAAACAAAAGGCAAGCAAACATCCTCCATCTGATGTTACCCAGCCAGTATACAGTGGTGTGTTTACAAGGTAGCATTTTATCTACAATGCCGTTGATAGAAACTCCTGTAAATTTCCTCAGCAACAAAGCTGGTTCCACACAGATGGTATGGATAGGACAGTTTTCCCTGCCGATTGCTTTTGTCCCAGGATAGCAACATTTTTTAAAGACAGCACTGAGATAACCGGTTTTATATCCTACCCTTAACTGGATATCTTTGATCCATCTCCTTGAATTTTAAGTGAGCTTTAAAAAAAAGAAAAGAAATGAAAAAGAAACTGTCCCACGTATGTGAAGAGGCTTTGGTGGATAAAAAACACTGGAATAATAATAGGATAATAATATTTATTAGTCTGAAAATCTGTTCGTATAACAAGTCTTGCACAAGAGTCATGTGCACTATAAAAAAATCTTGCACTCTTCTGGCATCCTTCAATACTCCCAAGAATCCTTCTGTGGAGGATTTGAGTTCCAAACCTTAAGCCTGCCCCTGAAATAGCCTGCTAAACTCTTGTATGTGGTCCACAGTCTGCTTACATTCCACAAATAAAAGCTTATTACCCATCCCGCACTTCCTGCTGTTACAGGGCTCATGACCTGCTTCCTGTTGATAAGTCCCAGAGCTGGTTTAATATCCTCAGGAAGAGAAAGGGTTCACTGTGTACTCTGGGGAACTCAACTCCACCAGAAAAGACCTTGTTCCTCCCGTGATTTGTCCTGCAATTTCTCCAGAATCATTTACACACAGAAAAATCTACAAGAGAAAGTCTTCCGATGTTGCAAAACCAATTCATGCTTTAACCTTTCTGATCCTCAACTGCAAATTGTTCTCAGCACATCAGATTTTCCATTCATTTTAGGATTATTTCCTATATTTAAAATTTTGAAAAATAGGTGAAGAAAATGCGCCATACCTTTTTCTGTCCCTTTGAAATGTTTGCTCATAATACAATTAATGTTGTGAGTTGTATTGTACAGAAAAGGGAATTAAGGGCAAATATGAAGCTCAAGAAAAGAATGTCTGATAAATGTTATTTTTTTTTCTTCTTGCCATCTGAAATGACATTTTCCTTTCCATCCCAGATTTGCAGCGTGAGTGCTAATGACCATGCCTTCTCCAGGCAACCGAACTCTTCAAAGCAAGGCAGTTAAAAAGCATTTGTCCTTATTCACCCTTTCAGTTTCTCACATCAGAAAAATAATGCAATATTTTAAACACCTGGGTCTGATTCATTTCCCCCAAGAGTATGGTCTCGAGGTGCCTCCATTTACCTAGGAATGTATAATAGAGACTGGAAAATAGGAAGAAAAAGTTTAAATGGGAAGGGGAACAAGAAAAAGAGGAGGAGGGAAAGGAGGGAAGAGAAAAGAAAAAAAGAGAACAGAAGAAAAAAATGGAAACAAAGCTTTTATAAATTAGGGGAAAGAAGTGGGGATTTAGCTCAGTGGTTCCACCACCTGCCTTGCAAGCACAAGGTCCTGAGTTGGATTCCAGGTACCTAAAAAAAAAAAAAAAGGAGAAAGAGGAAAGAGGGCCAGGGATTTAGCTCAGTGGCACCGCCTGAGTTCAATCCCTGGTACCAAAAGGGGGGGGGGGGAGCAGTTGAAGTGGGGGGAAGGGATTGGGGGAAAAAAGGAAAAGCAAGATATACTACTTACAGGTACAAATTCCCTATGATGCATGTGACCATTATATATAAAGTACACTAATAAAACTAATTTTAAAAGTAATTACAAATAAAATAAAGCAAAATATAATAGATCTTCAATTTTTAAAAAAGCATTTGTCATCCATCTCTGGCCATAGAGGCCAGGAATCAAAATTTAAATGCCTGTTATGCTCCCTTTGTACAATTTAGTCCATAATGTTATTTGTCTTTTGAGTGTTAACCATGTTTTCTTCCTGTAACAGCAAGGTTTAAATAGAAGTTGCTTAACAATAGGCTGAGTCCTCATTTCTTGTTGTATAACTATTGTATTAAGCACTGTCACTGAACAGCTGCACTCATTGTAGAAAATATTTGACAATATCCTCAATTCCCTGATATAGACATCTTTGAATACAGATCTCCAAACATGATTGATTATGCATGCTTATCCTCCTTTAATGAATCTTTAAATCCTTTTAAATGTTTCCTAGATTTTCCTTACATTTGACATTGCAATCTAGATTAGGACACTAATTTCACATTTATCTCATTTACCGAATGGTAGTATCAAAAGGAAATTATAAATATTTTCCTTGTTTTATTTAATGAAATAAGCTCCATGAAGTAAGTAGAGATTTACCTGATCAGTAAATCAGAATAAAAAGTCTGAAACTCTAGTTTGCTAACCAAGAGTACAGTTCTCTTTGCAGGGCACAATAAATCAAGCATAAAATTTGTTCAAAGGTAAAGAAATTTCCTGGCTAATCAGAAAAAAAAAATTAAAAATTCTCAAGGAAAAAACTGCAAATAGGCTGGGGATTCAGCTCACTGGCGCCACCGCCTGCCTCTCAAGCGCAAGGTCCCAAGTTCGATCCCTGGTACCACAAAAAAAAAAAAAAAAAAAAGAATCTGCAAGTACTCTCAGATAAATTACAATCTTACCAAACAGACTTTTACAAAAATGAACACAGACGTGTTTTTCCAACCCATGATTGCTGATATAATTTCACCATGAGATAGATATTTACTGAAAATGAAGCTGAAGTGCCTAAAATAATAAATAATTGTAATGGAATGTCCTTTCTAATGTTAAACCCCTAAAACTGATCCGTGAATAGCCAAAAAAGCCCGTCTTGGGGGTGTTACTTGCAAAGACCCCCACTATTATTGTGAATGTAGCCAACTAAAAAAGACAGGTCTAGTCAAGAACCCAGCTGTGGGGGTGCCTCACCTTCTCCTGCCCTTTCCGTGAGCTGAGTGGAAATCATGAGCCCTATTGCAACCCAGGTTACCATCGAACATGTGTTAAAGTCATGATCTTGCCTCCAAACATTTCACTTTGGCAATATTCAAACCACTACCTCAGAGATATTGTGTATTTTAAAGACAACATGTATTTTCCCAAATAGTCAGATGAGCAATGCTCTCCCAGAGTTCTCTCAAATTCTCAGTAAGCACAAACAGCCAGAATAATGATTGTTATATTTTGAAAAGCATCCCCACGCTGGATTTCCCCCCAAATCATATATCCATTCTTAAACCACACATACTTCACATTATTTAATTTATTATTATTACATCTTTAGTACCTGAAACGAGAGACTTAAAGGGGAGGCAGTAAGAACTGAACCCAAACTATGCCAGGTGCAATTAAGAGAGACGTTTTGTTCTTTCTGGTCTTCAATCTCCTTGAAGGGCAGTGATTCTGATTAGAGCTTATTTAAGAATATTTATTTAAGATTATTGAGCCTGAATTCCTAGGGAAAAGAAGCAGTTCTTGGAGTCTTCATGGGCACAAAGAGGTATATTTAGAAGTAAACATCTCATAGACATCTCAGTTGGAAAGCTGGCCATTAGCCAAGCAGACTGAGTCTTACTGACAGACTTAAAAGGTGTGAAATGGTAACAAACAAAGAGAATTAGTTGTGTGTATAGCAGCACAGTATGGGAAATGTCTGCTAACTTCTCCTGGACTCCCTGACTGTTGGGGTAAACCATACCATTTCCACTGAATTCTTCTACTTCAGTGAAGTTCTTACTTCTTTAAACAAAAGGAAGACAAGGAAACAAGGAGGTGATACTAGGTGCTGAGAAGGAAGAGAACTAAAAATTATCTCTAAGACAAGAAAGTAGATGACAGCTTCTTGGGTGTCTGGGGCTGGTTAGTGATACACGAAGAAGATTTTTTTCTGATTGTATGTGCAGAAGCCCCAGCTCAGAAATACTGGTGATCCTGAACATGCAATTGCTTTTCCTGAATATCTTCCACTTCCGGCGTCTCATACTCAGTATCCCTTGCATTGGCCTCACATGGCCAGACCTCTGGGTTGTAGTTGGAGCTGAACAGAGCGTGCCTCCACCGAGGGACTCAGGGAGCTAGTGCAGCTTCTCGGGGTCCACTCTCCCTGCCGTCCTCTCACATGCACAGCGCCTCAGCTCCCTGCAGTCCTTGGAGAAGGCTTTGCCATTGAGGATGGTCACACAATCCCTGCTTCTCAGAAGGCTGGTATCTATGATTATCTCGAACCTTAAAAGAGAGAAAAAAGTTAATTAATCTCCTCTAGAAGGAAATATTCAGGATCCATAAGTACATAAAAGCCTTCCTGGGGTAGAATGAGTTCACTGAAAAGATGGGGTCACCAAGCTCTTTATTTTCAACCTTTCATTTTCTATCTCAGAAGCATCAGGTGCCCATGACAACAAAAAGTATTTCCAAATAAAACAAAGACATTTGGTGCCTGCTTGAAATCCTAGCACTCTGGGAAACTCAGGCAGGAGGACCGCAAGTTTGAGTCCAAGCTGAGCAATTTAGTGACTTAGTGAGACCCTGTCTCAAACTAAAAATATAAAAGGCTAAACATGTAGCTCAGCACAAAGGCTCTGAGTTCAATCCCCAGCACTGAGGAAAAAAAAAGATACATATTCTAATTCAAATATGTCATACGATTTCACTGCTATTTATATGCCTTCGCTATGACTTAGTTTACTTAACTGTAAAATACAAATGACTCATTGATATGTTCTGTCTCCTGGGACAATAAATGTTTTACTGTGAGGAAGAAAGATATCTGTTCTAGTATGCCTTGAAATATAACATTTTGGTGCAAAGGTACATTTTCCATGTTCACAGAATTCCATGCATGTGCTTACCCAAATGCTCCCACCATAAGCAAAAGTACTGTTTTATAGTACTTTTTAAATATTGTCAGCAAATCTATTCTCAGTGAATATATATATACGTATATATATAAAAGGTAGCAAAATTTCATATTTGTTAAAGATAAAAGAAACAGGCTCTGTAGAGTGGGCCATGTAAAAGCAGGAAAATAAGTACGCTCTATGATGTGAAAGTGGATTACTGTGAAAGACCACAGTAGCTGCTCTGGGTGAATATATTTTTAAAGATGTGTTTCTCATTTCACTGCATGGAAAGTCAAGAAATCAGAAGTTTTGCCCTGCCTCTGGGTCTGGGTATTGACATGTTGTATGACCTTAGAACTAACCATTACAATCTGGCTCCTAGACTTCAATTTACTCTTCAATAAGCTGCTCTCTCTCGCTCTCTCTCGCTCTCTCTCTCTCTCTCCTTGTCTCTCCCTCCCTCCTGTTTCCCTCCCCTCTCCTCCTCCCCTCCTTCCCCTATCACTATCCCTGTCCTCATCCCTGCTCCTAACTGTATATTTTTATCTCTATCTCATTCACAGTGACCCCTAGATACACACTGCTGGAAACAGCCAGGGAACTGCCCCTTGACATTTACTGAACATACATGTCTTCCTAGTCTCTTTATAAGCCCTTCAAGTCCAGGAGCAAGTATTATATCACAAACACCTCAGGACAGCCTCCTGAAACAGCACAGTACAAAGAAGATGTTCGGGAATGCTTATCAACCGAGCTGTTGAACTCCATCACTCTATTTAACGCCTTTCCCACAAAAATGTCAGAAGGGCTTACAGTTCAAAGGAATAAGGTGTTCCATCCATCCACAGCCAGGTCTTTCCACTGCCATTGCGAGAGAGCCCTGTCCAATAAGAGTAGAAAAACTCAGAGTAGCTCTGATGCATGGCAAAGTCCTGTGAAAAGGCACACAAGAGAACCCTTAGCTTTAGAGGCAGTGTAACACATACAGGGAGTGTGCAGCCTGTCAGTGCTTCTCACAGGAGAACGATGCATGAATCCTGCCTCACATTAGTCCTCCAGAGCATGCGGCATCTGGGATGAGGTTCACTAGGAATTTGTACTGGTCAAAGAACTTCTTTAGTAAACTGTGGAATACATAGTACATATGGAGTATCTATTGACATTCTGAAGTCAAGAATCACATCAACCAAGATTTACATGTAACTTCTTATTTCTAAGGTACAAGATTCAACAATAAAGTTGACATAAAAGTATGGGAGGAAAATTTACAAAGAGGTGTGAAATAACTCTGGGAAATAGAAGCGTTTGGAAGGAAAAGTACAGGAATGGGGAGGTGACTTTTATAAATATCTGGGAAAGAAACTGACTGGGAATGAGTAGGCAATAGTGAATATGCTTCAATTAAAAAGTAAGGAAAAGGAGAATGTGGAAGGATTACTTCTCACACTAGGAAGGGGAGGAAAAGAAAAATTTAAATCTCCATGTTTATGTGTGTGTGTGTTCGTGCATACATGCATAGGGAAATATATGACATTTTTTTTCTAATATTCATATTGAAATTTCAAAGTTATTTATTCCTTTTTACCTAGTATTATTCTATACTCCTAATATCATTAACATAAAAGTTCTCTAATGCAAATATAAATAAATATATATAAATTATAAACATATATTTTTTCTCCCACCATGCTGTGAATTCTTTAGGACAAATGCAATTGCTATGTACTTGAATAATTATGGTACATACTGATTCAACAAGAGTATTGGAACTACAGATAAAACTATTGAAGAACAAAATAGTGAGCATATGAAAGAAACTGTATTTGAAAATATTGTTTCTTGCTAAATGAGAATCCCTTCAAATTAAATGTTCTGAAAATAAATCATGTGAAAGTGATTTAAATATATACAAATGTATAAAGTACACAAGATAAAATAAGTATATTGGTTTCCCAAGACAATTTTCTGCCACTTCATGTAGTACATGAATTATATACCTGAGTTGTCAGTGTGGGTAAAGGGAGAGAAAATAGAATGAGAAAAAGTAGGAGGGTTTATGCCAATACATGTTGCACTAGTAAAAGAAAATCTCTCCCTTTATGAATAAATTGAGCCAAAAAGAAAGGGTAGAAATGTTATGTTGGTAAATGATGTATTGCAAAGGGTCGTTCATGCAGATTTCAGGAAGTGGTGGGGATTAAGATGTAACTAGAAGGGTGTTAAGAATTTGTATAGTGAGCTGGGCATTTAATTAAATAACCATCTGTTGATAATCTGCTCTGCACCAAGAACTTCTGCTAAATTCTAGAGAAATAATAATAAATAAGTGGTGGTTACATTGATGGAAGGCTTCAACCCAAAAGTGAAATACTAGAAGAGGGAATAATCATACCATTTTAATAGTGTGCTTTAATTCCATGAACTCACTTGATATGTGTCAGTTTGTACATTCACTCTCATATTTACCTCACCTAGTGTTCAGGAAGATATATTTGCAGATTATGCTAAAGATTTAATCCAATATTTTTCAATTAACAGCTTTCTCATTTTTATAATGCAAGGGCAAGTATGTGTTATTTTCACTTTTCAGCCATTTTATCAATATTGTTTCCTTCCTATCCAAATCAAAAGAGGAAGAAAATTAAAAGATTCCCAGGTTTCTTCATGAATGAGGGAGTACTTTGAAGGGCTGTTATTACTCAGTTTTATGAAGTATTTGCAGATAGCAGAGCTCCATCTACTTTGATAAAGCAAAAGGACTAAGACTTGGGCCTTAACTTGACTAAGTGGAAAAATCTATGGGTCTGTACTTTGACTCATCAGAATTGTCTTACCTATCTTTTTTAAGTAAGGCCTCTTCTCAAAGAATCATTCAGTGATGGTTAATCTTGATTGTCAACTTGAATGGCATGAGAAGCCTAGAAGATTAGAAAGCACTCTTGTGGGTGTGTCTGGGTGGTCATGGGGCTGTGACCATGGGACTATATCTGATCCCTGGACCCTTACTCTCTGGCTCTTCCCAAGCTCTCTGCTTCCAGCTTCTATAAGGGGAAGAGATTTTCTCTACCATATCCTTTTGCCCTGATGTTTCTGCCTTTTGGACAGACAACCATGAACTGAAACATTTGAAACCATAAGCCAAAATAAATCCTTCCTCCTTTAAGTTGTATATGTCAGATGTTTTGTTTGAAAGATAGAAAGCTGACGAATATACTTTCAAACACTGAAAATACTCAGGACATTACCAGCACTTCTTGTGTGTTTATCTTCAACATAGTAGAATTCTCAGCATTGCAAAAATATTCACAGCCCTGCCAACTCTTACTATCTCTGTAGAATTGGTAGCATTTGTCCCCAAGCCACTTCCATTTTTCTGGGCAAGGGCTGCACTTGGGTCCTTGGAGGTGGGAAGACAGGGAAGAAAAACTTTAGTAAGTTATTTTTTACTTGAGTTTGCTGTGTTTCTTCTCATGAAATTATATAGTATTTAATGTCCCAAAATCAAACTAATTGTTTCTTTTAGATATTTAATTTTCCAAGCAATAATAAATACAAATACTTCCTAAACAACCACAATATTCCAGCAATTTTAATGGGTGATAAGTGGAAATTAAAGTAGACACTAACTTCTTATGTGGAGTATGGGATCTAGTAATGAATAACTGAAATTTCCTTGGCCCTTGCCTATACAATTCAGCCCATGGAGAGAATAATCAATTCCATAAAGCTGTTCATGGTTTAGAAACTCAAAATGCAAGTAGATTTTTGAAAGTATAATATATACCAATGTGAGGTCGGTCCCTTTCTTATTCTCATCAAAAATATTTTAGGACAAAATGAATACTAAAGGGAAGGCTGACTTTAATGAAGTGAACCATCAAGAAATCCCAAGAAAGTCAAGAAATAGTGAGACACACACACACACACACATACGCACACACACGAGACGGAGACAGACAGAGACAGAGAGAGAGACTGAAGCGATACCTCTAGCCTTTTTCGTCAGTACTTTTTAAATCAAAGTATATGACTGCCATGATCTATAGTCCTTCTTAAAACGCTTATATTTTATATCTAGCCGAGTAATATGGAATTAAAATAACTGGCGTTTGATTCAGGTTATCTGCATTTTTTATTTGATCCTTGTATAATTCTTAAAACTTCAGAACTATAGTTATGAGTTTATTACCTTCTTGATAAGGATAGATTTGTAAGCATACATGCCATGGTAAATTGAGACATAATCTTATATTTCACTTATTTGTAGTATTATATTGGTTATTCCAAGCTACTTGTTTCTATGGTTGCAAATGTTGCATTTGAAGAATCCTTTCATGTATTGTAACATGTATTATAACATTGTGTGAACTGCACGATCCAAATAATGGCATGATCTTGTAGCTCAAACCCTTTACTGAGTTTATAAGAAAATTAATTAAATAATACACGGTTCTCAGGGACTGTGATGGGAAATTCAGCTCTAAATTGACAGATAATCTAGGGGCACAGAGCTAGGACACACTTACCCCCACTTTTATTATAGAGCTCACGACAGAGTTTTTCAGCCACACGGTGCAGGCTTTCTGCAAGCTTCTTGTTCTTGCCTTGAAGAGACTGCAGCTGTTGGGACAGATTCCCCAGCCTTTCTTCCTTCTGAACAATGATAGCTTGCTGAGTGTTGGAGAGCTGGTAGAACTGAAAGACTAACCAAGGGATTCAGTCAGACTGGGCAGCCAATTTCTTAATTTCTATTTTGGTTTTTCACTTATGAGGAAGACAAAGAGTATATCATGATAAAGATCTCAAGCCCTGAGTTCTCATATTGCTATATTCAAGTCCAGACTCTAGTACATACGTAACACATTGTATCATGTAGGGCAAATTCATTTTTCTAAGTTTGTCTAAAAATATGGAAACATACTAGTTGCTCCTAACTTCAGAAGTAAATTCCTAAACTATTTTATTTTTATGTACACTCAATCATTACTCAACCTAAACCACAAATTTCTTAATCATTGCATTGATAATTGTCAATGTGCCATATATTGTTGCTCATTCGATTATTAAAATAATAAATTTTTGTTTCCATATTTTTTATATATTTGCAATCACAGTCAGTGAGAACAAGTGACTTCCTTAATGTCACTTACATAGAAAATTTCAGCACAGGCTTGATTCTCAGTTTTCTAAATCTAAATACAGAAACGCCTTATGAGTCCTAAGTTGAGTTATTCCTAAGAAGAACGGTGGTTGCAAAATGATAGTTATGTCAAAATGAAGTAAGAAGTGAGAGAACAAGTAAGTGAATTTTTCACCTTAAAATTTAAGATCCCACAAATAAAACTTTCAACATTTACTATAAAACCTCAGTTTTTAGGCAAAAAGGAGGATTTCAGGAGTGAGGGCTTTTCCTGGTACACGTGTACACAAAGGACTAAAGTAGAGATTAAAAAGTGAAGGATCAAGGATACTCCAGCATCTGTCTGAAACACCGTGCAAACCTAAATTTGACACTTTAAAAGTCTGCTTTTCTTTGTGGCATTTTGCCTTAAATTGTCTTCAGCTCTTCACAAAATGCCTGTCGGGTCCTAACAAACGAGATAAGTTTACCCACTTCCCTTTTTTCCCCATTGTATGAATACCCCACAGTTCCAAGAAATGCACAGTGTAATGTGGATACAATCCCATGATCCTTCAGCGTAAACCCTGCAGTTCCCATACACACTCACTTCCTTCTTTAAGGAGCTGGTCCTGTTTCAAATTTAAAGACTTCCACAGACATTCTTCTTCTTTGATTTTTGCAGCCTTTTTGAAAAATATCACAGTGATTAAAGAACTTATGTATTCTCCTTGTATGGAGGGTGTGGATATAAACAACATCTCTTCTGTCTATGCTGGGCAGACTGAGGGCAAATACCATGTCACTTCATTCTTGTGGTGCAGGAGCACATGAAGCATGCATGAATTAAATACTGACGTGGAAACAGATAAGATCCTTCTTAGAATGTTTAATTCTAGTTGGCAACTGATCGCAACATTTTAATACGTCTTCGACTATTCATCATTTAATTAGTTGCTGTTAGAAAAAAAACATTGAACTTTTCCCAGGCTGCAGAATACAAATTTTTAAAAAGATCTCATAACAGGTGTTCCTTCTCGCAGATGAACCTTGGGACCAGGATCCTCCCCCTGCAGAGTACAGACTTACACACAAGGCCCAGGGCTGCCAGGCCAGTCAGCAACACCAGGCACAGAGTGAGCAGCGTCAGAGCCACCGGGCGCCACGTAGAGAGGGGAGTCCTGAGCTCTGCAGGGGACAAAAGAGAAAACAAAGCTGGTCTCTTTCTCCCTCGTGGATCTAAGTCAGCAGCCAGCAAGTGAGTGGAGTCAGTTCTGGAGAGGAAAAACGCGTGCAGGACAGCGGCAATCAACAGGAAACTCACTTACCCTCTGTCCTAGAAGCGTGGTCTACAAGCTCCACTAAGCCTCTATCAAGGCGGGATTTGTTCACAGCCCCACACTCTTCTCTGCTCGCCTGCCCTCCTACTTTACACCAAATCACCACACACATCACCACAATCTTTATGTGGTTGCTTTTATAACCTGCGTGTGGAAGTTTTAATTGTGAGAGACTCTCTTGAAAAACGACAGAAACAGAGCGTGAGAATCCCCGAAATTTACCAGGGAACAGCTTTTCACACCATCAGGAAAAAATGAGAACAAATTATACAACATGCTCTCCTCCCCGTGTTCCACATGCGGTTCTTCTAAGAAGCAAATTATGTATCAGTAACGAGAAATTATCATTTTACTATTTCTCTTTGGGATTTCGTTGTTGAAAGTCTCTTTTTTGTAACGTTATTTATTCATTCATTTCATGCATATCCCAAACATAGATTATAAGGAAACATACTCATAAATTTCTCAAGGAGGGAAAAAAATCATCTCAAATTTTATATCATTAAATAAAACAAACAAACAAAAACCACAGCCAACATTCTTTCCTTGCCTCCATCCGCAGAAGTGTGAGCTGTAATTACAGAGTTCTCACAGTGGGTCTGGAGCAGGCCTCTCACCTCGCTGTCTGGGACTAAATGACCGTGATATCTGACAGAGAAGATCACCACCCAATTGCAGGTAGCCTTTAGCATTGTAATTAAAATAAAACAAAGGAGAGTGAAACCCTCAAATTGATCCCTTTGGGACCTAGGACTTGCACTTCTCTGAAAATTCAAGTAAGATTCCAAAGCAGAAACATTAAAGAAACACAAATTCGGTTCTTTCTCACAAGGTCCTGTACATAGTGTATCCTAGGCACAAAGATTTGCACTAAATGCTATTTCTGAAGGGGAAAAGATATGTGGTAGAGATAATACAGAAATAGAAAATATGATTGTATTCTCCAGAACTTACAGTCTAGGAGGGAAAGTAAGTTAAAAATCACAGAGTAGATGTATTGATATGTTTTAAAATGTGAATCTTATTCATTCTAATAATAATCTTTATCAATAATGTGCATTATATTTAAAACAAGATGCACATCTTTCACAGATGGTTCTTTGTTAGAAAGAATTTTACTAATTTTCTGATTTGAAAACTTCCAATAGCTTTAGTGCACTTGAAATAAAATCCTACAAAATCGTTTTTCATCCAGACCTTACCTAACTCTGTTTTTTATTTTCTGGACTATTCTCCCTTTGCTTTAATGCTCTACTCACGGCAGCCTTAGCTTGTCCCCGTCTTAGTTCCTTATGTTATGCCTGCCTCTGTCTCTCCATTTGTGGGTCCACAGATAGAGTACTGTTGGCTACTTCCTGTTTCTCTGCTTTCAGTTTAAAAGACACAGTCTTGGAAGAGGCTCCTGAGTCCATTGCTAGCATGTGACCTACCCTAGTACGACTGTGTGTTTGATATCATGAGGCAGTATTTCATGACTTAAGTTTGTTTCTGTCTGTCTCCTCCTTCTTAAACGGCACACCGTTAAAACAGTGATCTCATTTTTCTTGTTCACTAATGTATTTTCCGTACTGAAAATAGAATCTATAAGGGATTAATAAATATGTGAACATTTAAATAAACAAAAAATGAAATTATAAAAAACTACTATTACCTAAACTATGAGAGTGTACAAAGGCAGAGAGTTATCTAAAGGGAGATCTATTGACATTTTTAGCAATACTTCTTATAGTAAAATACAAAAACAACTGAGTACATCTCCCAATCCTTCTAGTTTCTCTATATTGTTGTGTGTGAGATCCTGTGTTCTGAACAAATATGAAAATTTTGCTTCCTCTCATCTCCTGTAATGAGTTCGCCTATATGGTTTAATCTAAATTTTCCTAGAAAAGAATATAACTTTGGCTTTAAGAGTACTTCAGATCAGCAGAACAAGCGCCAATGAAGAATACAGGTTAGGCTAAACATCCTCTTCAAAACTCTAAGTATTTAAAAGTTCAATGTAGTCTAAGAGGGCTGAGGATTTAGCTCAGTGGCATCTTGCCTGTCTTGGAAGTGCAAGGTCCTGAGTTTGATACCCAGTACCCGCCCCCCAAATAGGTCTAAGAGAATTAATCATGTGAATGTTCCTACATATGTGGATTCACCACTATAGTGGCTTTGTTTTTTTCATATTATTACCATTAAATATATTATAGTTCATGGGTGAAGATGTAGCTCAGTGTATAAGGCACTTGCCTAGCATGAATTAGGTCCTGGGTACAATCACAGCAATACATACACACACACACACACACACACACACACACACACACATTGTTTTAGCTTGTGTTTTACTCTATAGAAAATAAGCTTCTTTTTGGAAAAGGTTATTAACTATGTAGCCATTATAGTAGCCCAGCAGCTAGAACATGAATTGAAATAGCTTAAGTAATGTCTAATGTATGAATGAATATGTCCATTCTATAAAGTAGCTCTGTTATATGCCCTACTACCCCCTACTTACACTTAATTATATGAATATACATCTCAAATGCATAAAAATAAAAATCCTGTCACTTTTTATGATTAATATTGTCCTGGACAAAGAAACAAGAAAAAGGCAAAGGGGGAAAAAGAACTATGAAAATAAACCAAATTATTTGTCCCTTTACAAATCTGTTTTCCCTTGCAAATACTGGAAATAAGGAAAGTTGCCCAAAGGGACCAAAAAGAGTGAGTTTAACTTTTTTCCTTACTGAGAAGAAAGAGCTTGCATTTTAGATATTAGAACACCATTTTATAATTACTGTATTCATGAAAACAATGAATATATGGTCCTTCCTGAAATTACCTCTAGAACAGAAAAGTACAATGTAGCACGTTTTCTGTTAAGAATAAAAGTTTTAAAAATTTCTTTCTGGGGAACTATCTCTTCAAGGTAAAAGTTTTACATTTGGAAATCCTCTTCCTCTCTCCCCTCAACATTTGCAATTGCTCCTTGCTTTATCTAAGGATCCTGAGAAATCCTACCATAAGAGAGTTTCTCTGGTTGTTATGGCCATTTCCTAAGAAGTATACTGTCAAGATGAAAAGACCATGACTTCGAATGTTTCACTCTTCTTTAGTACTATTTCCCCCTCTACCTCTTAGTCTAATGTTCCACTATTGTATCCCAAGTGCTCCTAATCATGCTGAAGTCTTTCTCTAGAGATCATCCCCACACTTTCAAAAATAGATCATTGCAAAAATAAGCTTCCTGAGAGAGGCATAAGTTTGCTTGGCTTTACTGTGGTTTTAGTTTTTGGAAGCAAACCCCTATTCTGTCTCCTGAGGCATGTTTACAAAGAGGTGTGGACGGGCCAAGGAATGATATAAACATCTCTAGGAAATAAGTATAAACCCTTTCCTGTATCCTCTTACTATTACCATACTATAAGAGGCTACAGTGCCAGGGTTAAGTTTTCAATACAAATTCCTTTGTCATGACATAAAGCATTGTAGATGAAGAGGGTGGTCGTACTTGACCAGTTATTCTTCAGTAGGCATCTGGGAGGGAAACCTTTACACTCTGCCAATCCTAAGCCTACCAGAAATGAAGCAGACATTGCCAAAAGTGTTCTACATGTGTCCCTCTGAAATACAAAGGGTCTTAAGAGCTGGAAAAGAAACACAGAATTTTAATAATTTGTACAAAACCAGGTTTCAGGCTTGTGGCAAAGGTAGAATGCATATAATGTTTCTCAACTTATTTCTCTTATCCTTTTAGATCACTATATTTTTAACATTTTCCAAGATGGCACATTGCTAGCCCCTATCTGACTTTTGGATATATTTTTTAAATTAAATTTTTTTTCTTCTCTGCAACTTCTTTTTGTTCCTTTAATTTTTGGTTCACAGAATCTTCTTCAGGTCAATGGATGGAGATTGTTTATTATTTTCAAAAAATGTAGATTTCTTATATGGATATATTTCACATATTTGGTGTTTTCGCTTTCTCTAAACATAAATTGGTTATTATCCTTATTATTTCTTAAAACTTTGTATCTAAGTCTATATGAGCTATTTCCTAAATATTACTGAGTTTTTAATACACAGCAACTAGATATTTAATTATATTTAAGTCAGACAATTTCATATCCCAAATGATGGCTTTCACTTACTGAAATATAGTTCAAAAACAATACTAGTATTAATGAAGATTGCAAAATTTCTTGAATCACTGAGGTAAATTCCCTAGATGGATTATCTCATGTATTTTCACTAACATCTTATGGGGTAGAGATTGGTATCCCATTTTACAGCTATGAAACTGAGGCCTCGAAGGGTTAGACAGTCTACCCAGGAACACACAGCTACTACTAATAATTGTTACCAAATGTGCTATAATACTGTTGTATTTCATGGGACGATCTCAAAAATTATTCAAGAGGGAAACTATTTTTAACCTTTACTTGGACTGGACTGGATTGAATCGAATTGAATTGAATTATGGAAGAGTTACTTAATGTGCTTAGGTTTGCATTGTCAGTAAGTATTGGAGCCTGAAATGCTAAGGAGCTACACATTTTAAATCACTTTATAATCCTCCTAATGAATCTCACATTAATATTTGACCTTATATAACAGGTCTATATGGAATTATATAAAGATCCCATTGTTTTAGAGGTCAGGTCTATTTACTTCCTTATTGTGAAATATCTTAGTCACAATCACCTTAAAGCAGGAATTTCCCAACTCTACCAGTCAGGTGAAATTTCTAAAGTGTAAGTTTAATTGTGACTCTTATTTAAGGAGAAAAGTTCCTCCAGACCTATGCATTACTAGTCAAAAGTCCTTATCATCCTCCACCAGGCTCCTCCTTGTACTTCT